TTTCTTTGTCGACCTTTTCCCTCAAAGCGAAAGCCATAGGACGGGCTTTAAAAAAACATGGACGGGCATCGTCTTTTAAGGTAAGGGTTACTTTGTATTTATTAAAACAACCTAGTTTACCTGAAAGAGTTTCGGGATACCGTAAATGTAATGAGTCAATTTCATTTTGAATTTCTTGACAGTAATTAACCGGTGTCAGTTGTAATCTAAACAAAGAAATAAAATCTCTTCCTAATAACGGCGGCCCCCCGCCCCGCACTACGAACAGGCGCAGCGGGCGCGTGCTGCCTCCGAACCGCACCGACACGCTCGCGACGCCCGTGCAGGCTATCTCGCTACCGGTATAGCTCATTAACCTTTTATCGGTAGCTGACAATGGCACGTCGTTAAAATGAGTTTTGTATGTTTTTTCAGAAATTACCGTTACTGCTGACCCACTATCTATTTCGAACCTTAAATTTACCCCATTAACAGATACGGTTTCTACCATAGGTTCACCTCTAAGCGATCGAATATTAAATAACTCACCGTCGTCCTCCTTGCCTACATCATCTGCCAACACATAATTCACTTTTGTGCACATTCTACGTAAATGCCCTTTAACTTTACACTTTTTACAGGTATAGTCAGCATAGCGACAGTCAGCCGTTTTATGATTTGAGTATCCACACACTGCACACTTCACCTTTTCACCTTCTCTCTTCTTAATTTTGAAGAGCTGTTGCTCGGCGGCGGCGCCGACGCCAGCGCTGCTCGCGGCGTCGCGCGCATTGCGCATACTTTCAGCCATATCAACCGCATTCACTAAGGTCAAGGTCGTGAAGTCTTGTGCGTATATGCGTTCCTTTTCAACTCCCGGCAGCATCCCCATAATAAAACGATCACGTAGCGCCTCCTCCACGTTCGAAAACTGACAGTTAGCGGTAAGTCCACGTAATCTCGCGGCCCACTGCGACGGTGTTTCGCCATGTAGTTGGGTAGCAGTATAAAACTTATGACGCTCTCCAAACCCAACCTGTTTGGGGATGAAATGCGCATCTAGCAATCCTAAAATGTCTTCATAGGGCACTGTTTGTAGCTCTTTTGGAAGGGCCAAGTCCGACGCTAACTTATATGAGCCCTCGGTGAGTGCGCTCAGCAAGATCGCTCGCCTCTTGATTCCCGCTGGATCATTAACTATATCAATGTCGTTCGCTATGAACCACTGTGTAAGTCTGTTCTTGTAAGTTTTCCAAGACTGTACACTATGATCGAAAACAGACAAAATACCGAAATTTCCGTTCGACATCTTTTTTTTTTTTAATACGAGGGTAAGGCTCGTCGCCACTGTTAGATATTGTGTTGCGGGGGATACGAGTGAAACGCGCTGTGGCTGGTGACACACTGCATGTATTTCAATAGCGGTCGCATCTTACATACATAACAATAACCAACGGGAATATAGTGAAACGTTTTCGTTTAGTAGTAGTACTTTAAATAAAAGTGAATTAATTATATTTTATATTTTACAGGAGTATGCAAATTTAATGCCAAACATGGTTGCTTGAAATGTACAGTGGTCGGCGAGTATAGTCATAAATCGCACACAGTCGTATTTTACAAAGATTGATTGCCCACGAAGAAATGACGTGGACTTTCGTTTTAAGAGGTATGGAGATCACCACAAGTACGATTCTCTTTTGCTAGCGTTACCAATAGATATGATTGAACAATTTCCTGTAGGAGATTCTCTACATATTATTGATTTGGGTGTTATGAAACGGTTATTAATTGGTTGGAGGGATAGAAATTTAGGAAATCTAATTACAAAATGGCCTGCAAGGGAAATAGGAAAAGTCTCTCAATTTTTGCTATGCTGTCAGATGCCAAAGAAAATACACAGGAGTATTGAGTTCCGAACTTTTCTGCTCTATTTAAGTTTTGTTATATTAAAGGACGAATTAGATAATGCAGCATCTCATCATTTTCTGTTCTTTTTATCAGCTGTAACTATTTGTACAAGCGAGACACATTTTCAACTTCTACCAGTCGCAGAAACAATGTTAAAGCACTTCGTTGACAATTATGGCAAGTTTTATGGACAAGAGTACATTACAAGCAATGTTCACAATTTAATACACGTAGTAGACGAAGTAAAGAGATTTTGAACCTTGCCGCTGATTAATAAAGAGACATAATATTGAAGTAGAGAACTTAAGAAACGATATTAGGCATAATTGCCCTACAATAAAGAGTTACAAATATGGAAGTAAACAGTGATTAAATTAGAATCTTTTATCATCTCTACTGATAATGGAGATAAGTGGTTTTTTAAAAACAACAACTACCTCGTTGAATTTTGTTCGGCTACTTGCAACGAGGGACGTATGCAGATAATTGGAAATCGAATTGAAAACTTAAGGAATGATGTTTTTGAATCGCCTATTAAATCTTCATATCTTCTATCTATGAGAACGAAATTTCGCAAACTGAAGCCATATATTATATTACTGATATAAAGTTGTAAGTTGGTTAGCGTTACATACAACTCAAATATACATATATTTTGCTTCGCTTATTCATACATTTAAGAAATAGGTAATAACGAAGGCGGTAAAAATTGTTTATTATTTATTAATGTTATTAAAAATTACAAAAAATAAAATGTCACAAATATACATACAAAATCGCAACATAACAATAAATAAAATTCAAATTAGTAATATCTTTACCTGCTTATTAACTCTATAATTAAGAAATGGAATATCCACTGAAATTGAAAGATTTACCGTTTTCTGTCGTCTCCACTATTTTAAAAGACATTTTGCTAAAAAAACAACCAGTTATTATGGACAACAAAAACTTCCCAAGTATCAATTTGTTCCTAAGTTATCTTATTAAAAATTTAACATTAGCTCTTAATAATTCTACCTATTATGTTTTGTTGCTACTTGATAATCTAAGAGCCAAGCACCCACTTCGTATTACTGACAACGTACTACAACTGACTGACCCTGTAAGTACACTATAATATTATATATTATACTAAGCGAAAGTGCGCGAGCACATCGCCGCATCGGTCGGCCTAAAGAGCGAGCGAGGGCGACGTATTGGCTCTATGTAAGTACAGAACGCCATCTGTACTTACATAGAGCCAATACTACAATAATAGTGACTCGGGATAATAGTTAAAACTCTATTCGGATTCAATTGATAAATTACACTAATAAAATTTAACAAGTTATAATTGTACATTTTCTAACAGAATAAATAAAAGTTATGAAAAAGCTAAATTTTGTTTTTATAGCTGATTGTGTGAGAGGCATAAAAATAATTACAACTGTAAAGATTTTTTTGACTCTTGTACCAATAGTAGTAAATATATAATATTATAACTATTACTTATTAAGTTGAAGCGTAATTCCAAAATTCTTACAATATATTTAATGATTCAAATTTAAATATGTAGATAGGTATGATCAACTGACTAATTACAATATTCACATTCGTCTTCTGGAAAATGATTATAGATAGCAAAATATTTACAATGGGGGCACCAAAATAAACCGTAACGTAATAATTTTTTACATTTTTGTCCGTTAAAACAAAATGTAACGGTCTATTTCGACGGAATATCTGGGAACCACATCCATAACAACGAGAACAAAAGATAAAATGAGTAAATGACCAGGGCCATTTCAAATGTGCGCGTATCATTTCAATAAAGTCCATCTTTGATAAAAACTTATCAACATCCATATAATTGTAGATCATTGTTGGGTTTACCTAAAACAAAAGTATTATTTAGATTTAACTAAATTATAAGTCACGCAAATCCTTCTGTTCTTAAAATATAAATTCTTTGAACTAAGTTGAGTTTATGATTTTATTATTGATCCCTAAATCCACTGCCATGGCGTACACATTTACAATGAACACGCAGTTTATAGGTCGGAAGTTCTATAGTCGTCAGATAACGCTGTCACTTTATAAATTATTAATAAAAATATGTGAAAACATTAAAATTTTAGAAGCGCATAAAAATTTTAGTACAAACTTACCTCACATTAATCAGTAAACTCGATTGCACAATGGTTTACAACTGATGAAATGGTTTTATCACCTCAAATAACAATGAAAAAAATGCAATATTAACTCAGCTGTCAAAAACTGCCCCATTGAGTTAATGTGAGGCAGAACCAGATTGGACTCAGACAATCGCCCTGGAAGATACCCCTTCTTATCCTTATGTGGTTCTCCGCAGCCATCATCCGCTCGCCCAGATGACAAAGGAGCGTACTCCACTGCCCCATACACTGCTCGAGGAAGTCTCTAACTGTACAGTCTATCTTGTACAGCTCGAGGACTCTCTTTAGCCATGTATGGGGCACCGAGTCGAATGCCTTTCTGTAGTCTATCCAGGCGGCGGAGAATTTCCGACGGTTGCGTTTCACCACTTTGCCAATGACCGCGTCAATGAGGAGTGGTTCCTTGGTTACACAACCACCGCCCCGACATCCATTTTGAGCGCGCGACATCACCTGATTTGAGTCCAGGTGACGAGTGATTCTCGCGCTCAAAATGGATGTTAGTGTCTTGTATATGGTCGGTAGACACGTGATGGGGCGGTATTTGCTCGGGTCTGTGGTACCCTGGTCTTTAGGAACCAAATGAGTGATCCCAGTAGTGAAGAGGCTTGGGAGCGACTTCTGGTTGAGAGCCTCTTGAAACTGTCGGGCGAGCACAGAGTGACACACCACGAACCCCTTCAGCCAGTAGTGATGAAGCCCGTCAAGCCCCGGACTTTTCCAGTTCGGGGCCCTACGGACCGCCTCAGCTACGTCATCCGGCGTTATGATGACGGGGTCCATGGGCGTAATACCCGCACACTGACTCGCCACAACTTCCGTCCACGGGCCCTCGCTGTGGTTTACGGGCTCTGACCACAGGCCGCGCCAGAATGCTACAGTGTCGGCCTGATTCGGTGCTGGGCCCGTTACACTTACTATTGGTCGCTCCAATTATTCATAGAGCCTCTTCTGATCACTCTGGAAGAGACGATTCTGGTTGAACCGTGTCGACCTCTCGGTATATCGCCGAATCCGCTTTCCCCAAGCAGCGATACTCTGCTTCAGATCATCTATGCGCTCCGTCAGTTTTTGCGTTATATCCGGCTGGGACAAACTGACATTTGTCCCGGCAAACGCCATCCTGACGGTGCGCATAATTCTTGGCCTGTTATTGCCTGATCTGAAGCATATCAGTCTGCCGATGAGAGCTCTAGCCTTTGCGATACGTTCCTCAATTCTTCTTCTCCATGCTGGGATAGCGCTACTATGGCCAGTAGCGCGTCCAGATGTGGAAACCTTGGCGCCTATGATACGGCAGACAGCCAGCGCGGCGCCAAAAAGTATTGAGTCCGTCTCGCAAAGGTCCCGGCTGGCTTCTAAATAGGTCACCAGAATTGGGTTCAGAGCCCTCACGACAGCCCGATTCCGCTTGCTTAGGGCTATGCGGGGAAGTCGCGGTCGATTTTCGAGAGGCGTACTGCGCGTTTCCACAATCGCCTCTTCCAATGTACTCCTCATATGCTCTAATTCCAGTTCCTGGGCGAATGTTCCATCATCGTTTGAATCAACCACAACTGGGGTATTCACGGCTGCATCCACGTTTACGGGTTGCTCTACCATTTGTGGCGCCGCATACTCAGCCGTAGCATTTTCATCCGACGAGGAAGCAGCCTCACGTCGTAGCCGTTCGAGTTCGGCGACATCAAATATATTTGAGCGCAAGATATACCGAACTCGGTCTGCCAGTTTTTGCTCTGTGACGGTTAAAGATGGCTCCAACTCAGCAAAAAGACGATGCATCCTAGCCCGATACGCCAAACATCCAGTTTCTTCCCCTTTTGCCCTAAAGTACGCCCGCAGTGCGTTTGCATTCATTGCTTGTGACCAACGCATGCGACGTGCTCCACCAGCGGCGGGTGCCGCTTGCTGAGTCCGAGAAGACCAGCGACTATTTGGTGGGGATGATGGATGCGAGGCACCAGCTCCAGACGCGCCCCGGCGACCCCCAGGCAGCGGCCCTTTGCGCACTATCTTCTTATCCATCATCCATTATTTGGGCGTCCATTAACGGGAGACGCCCAGGCCCGGCACCGTATCGTGTGTGGCCATAAGCACAAACGGGCCTCTGCACCCTAAATTCTGCCGAGGCACGGCGCTCACACCTCTCGCAAGGCGCTGACTTGACGTAGCAGTTTTGTCACTTAACTGTTACGTCAGCGGGTGATGGGGTCGTCAATTCCCTACGCCTTATTGTTATTTGGGGTATCTATATAGTTTTCTCATCTGGTTGGGTTATATAAATATATAATTATAAATTAAAATGAAACGATAAATATACATAAATATCAATAAAATAAAATAAATACAAAAATACATAAATAAATAAAAGTCCAACCAGATGGAAGCCCTCGGCAGGGGAGACCAAACGGCCGAGGGTTAGGAGGAAAGGGAAAGAAACCGGCGGACGATGCGGGCGGTATCGAGGAGCACCGCCTTTTGCATTTGAGCCCGGAGCGGTCCGTCACGGAGTCCCAGTCGCCTCAGATGACCCGAGAGGCTGACTGGGATTAGCCCATTCGCAGAGACGACTACAGGAATAATTTCGGTCGACCCCACATGTCGGTCACCTCGTGAGCCAGGTCCAGATATTTTGTTCGTTTATCTGTTTCGGCTTTCACGAGGTTCTCGTCATACGGAATGGTAATGTCGACCAAAAATATCCTTGACTGTGCCAGGTCCATCAGCACAATATCAAGCTTATTCGCAAGAATAGTCCTGTCTGTGATGATGGCCCGGTCCCAGTAGAGCCTAGCGCGATCATTTTCGAGCACGGCTTCCGGTAAGTACTTGTAATACGGCAATTTCCGATCCAAGAGACCGTATTTCAGAGCGAGCTCCTGGTGTAGAATTCTGGCTACTAGGTTGTGCCTGTGCAAATACTCAGAGTTAGAAAGCGCCGAACAACCGGAGATGACATGCCTAAGTGACTCACCGGAATGGCGACAAGCTCGACAGAAGTCGATGGTGCCATCCTTTAGGATGTATCTCCGATAGTTGTTGGTCTTAATAACCTGATCCTGTATTGCACAGACAAAACCCTCGGTTTCCCCAAAAAGGTCACCGAAACGTAGCCAGTTGAGGGAGACGACTTTATCTACGAAGGGCTCATGTAGAACACTGTAGTACCTCCCGTGGAGCTCCTTCTCCTTCCATACGGTCTCCCAGTCGGAAATGCTTTGTACTGCCGGGTCTTGCCATTGCTCGTTGGCTAAGGATAGAGGGGTAAGTCCTTTATCACTAGAAATGACGTCATTATAGAATGGATAATCCGATCTCACCAGGAAGTAATTACGGAGGCTGCACACTTCGCGATTATGTATGGTGATCGCGCTCAGGAAGCCACGCCCACCATGCTTTCGCGGCAAGTACAGCCTCATTACCGACGATCTCGGATGATGCATCCTATAGGACGTCATGGTAGTGCGGACTTTTCAATCCAGGGCGTTAAGTTCGGTCTGAGTCCACCTGAGTATGCCAAAGGTATGCATGAGGACAGGCATGACCCAGCCGTTATATGCGTGTGCCTTATTCACACTGGACAAAAGGCTGTTAAGCACTTTGGTCAAGCGTGCATAAAACGTGTCGCAAACTGACTGTTCATACCAGCCTCATCGATACCGATGTTCTGTGACATACCCAGGTATCGGTATGTTTCAGCCTCGGAAAGGGTCCTTAAGTTGACGGGCATAGATAAGTCTATGCCCTCAGAGTTAGCAACCCTACCCCTCTCAACATGGAGGACCGCACACTTATCCGTCCCCAGCTCCATTCCAATAGAATTGCTAAATTCACAAGTGATGTTTAGCAATTCCATAAGATGAGAGCGACTGGAGGCGAATAATTTGAGGTCATCCATATAGAAAAGGTGGGTCACTTTTGTACCTCCTTTCCGAAGCTGAAATCCCCTCCCGGAACCCTCCAGTAAAGTACTGAGAGGGTTCAAAAAGAGGCAGAACCAGATTGGACTCAGACAGTCGCCCTGGAATATACCCCTTCTTATCCTTATGCGGCTTTCCGCAGCCGTCATCCGCTCGCCTAGATGACAGAGGATCATACTCCACGAGGCTCGAGGAAGTCTCGAACTGTACAGTCAATCTTGTACAGCTAGGGGACCGTCTTTAGCCATGTATGGGGCACCGAGTCAAATGCCTTTCTGTAGTCTATCCAGGCGGTGGAGAAGTTCCGACGGTTGCGTTTCACCACTTTGCCAATGACCGCGTCAATGAGGAGTGGTTCCTTGGTTCCACAACCGCCGCCCCGACATCCATTTTGAGCGCGCGACATCACCTGATTTGATTCCAGGTGACGAGTGATTCTCGCGCACAAAATGGATGTTAGTGTCTTGTATATGGTCGGCAGACACGTGATGGGGCGGTATTTGCTCGGGTCTGTGGTAACCTGGTCTTTAGGAACCAAATGCGTTATCCCAGTAGTGAAGAGGCTCGGGAGCGACTTCTGGTTGAGAGCCTCTTGAAACTGTCGGGCGAGCACAGTGTGACACACCACAAACCCCTTCAGCCAGTAGTGATGCAGCCCGTCGAGTCCCGGACTTTTCCAGTTCGGGGCCCTACGGACCGCCTCAGCTACGTCATCCGGCGTTATAATGACGGGGTCCATGGGCGTTATTTGGTCGCTCCAACGATTTATAGAGCCTCTTCTGATCACTCTGGAAGAGACGATTCTGGTTAAACCGTGTCGACCGTCTCGTTATATCGCCGAATCCGCTTTCCCCAAGCAGCGATTCTCTGCTTCAGGTCGTCTATGAGCTCCGTCAGTTTTTGCATTATATCCGGCTGGGACAAACTAACATTTGTCCCAGCAAATGCCATCCTGACGGTGCACACAATCCTTGGCCTGTTGTTGCCTGACCTGAAGCATATCAGTCTGCCGATGAGGGCCCTAGCCTTTGCGATACGTTCTTCAATTCTTATTCTCCAGGCTGGGATAGCGAACCCCCCCGAACGGGTTCCCGCCTTGTCGTGGCGGGGGGGGGGGGGTTAGAAGCCGTGGCTTGGTCACCCACGGCGAAACAAAGAGGAACCCATATGGCTGGTCCGAGGTGGAGGGCCAGCCCGAGGTGGCCACTCCGAGTGGGCTTGGGAAGCCCACTTCGGATGTGTGTTGGTGGACTGCGGTGAGAGGTGTGTCCTCCCCACCTACCGCTGCAGCCGAGGTGGAGTCGCGGAGGAAGAGGAGTGTTGGTATGGCGATGCGCCACTCGCCCTATCCTCCGCGACTCAAACGGGGCCACGCCGTTGATGCGGTGGTGGCGGGGCTGCGAGGGGAGAGGATTGTCGGTATTGCGAGGCGCCGCTCTCCCTACCCTCCGCAGCCGAATCTTGGTTGGCGGCGGAGCTATAGACCAGATCCGCTGCTAGGGTCGGGAAGGCTAGTACTTCTAAGTGCTTGTTTTTCCTGGCCCCATGGCCTTCTTGCATTGGACGCGGGGGCGTCCGTTGCGCTGATGTAATTAGAGGCCGAGAAGGAAGGCGTGCCATGTGTTCTGGTGCGCCTTACCAGTGAAGGAGAACGGGGAGGAATATTCCGCTCCCGAGGAAGTGCTGCCATGGGGCGGCAGGCGCTGGTGGGGCTGCGGATGTGTGCGAAAGCGTTCCCGTGGCCCTGCCAATAAGCGACAAAGGTGGAACACCATGGGGTTTTAGTCGGTGCGAGTCCGACATAACCCGTCCTTGCCCCCGCGAGGCGGGTATGCGTAGGCATTTCCCCATGTAAAAAAAAGGCTGGGATAGCGCTACTTTGTCCAGTAGCGCGTCCAGCCGTGGAAAGTTTGGCGCCTATAATACGGCACACTGCCAGTGCGGCGCCAAAAAGAATTGAGTCCGTCTCGCAAAGGTCCCGGCTGGTTCCAAATAGGTCACCAGCATTGGGTTCAGAGCCCTCACGACAGCCCGATTCCGCTTTCTTAGGGCTATGCGGGGAAGTCGCGGTCGATTTTCGAGAGGCGTACTCCGCGTTTCCATAATCGCCTCTTCCAATGTACTCCGCATATGCTCTAATTCCAGTTCCTGGGCGATTGTTCCATCATCGTTTGAATCAACCACAACTGGGGTATTCACGGCGGCATTCAGGTTTGCGGGTTGCTCTGCAATTTGTGGCGCCGCATCCTCAGCCGTAGCATTTTCATCCGATGAGGGAACAGCCTCACGTCGTAGTCGTTCGAGTTCGGCGACATCAAATATATTTGAGCGCAAGATATACCGAACCCGGTCTGCCAGGTTTTGCTCTGAGACGGTTAAAGATGGCTCCAGCTAAGCAAAAAGACGATGCATCCTAGCCCGATACGCCAAACCTCCAACTTCTCCCCCTTTCGCCCTAAAATACGCCCGCAATGCGTTAGTATTCATTTCGGTTGTCCATCGCATGCGGCGTACTCCACCAGTGGCGGGTGCCGATTGCTGGGCCCGCGAAGACCCTGCCGACACCAAGCCAGCTGGTGGGGATGATGGATGTGAGGGGCTGATGGGTGGTCGTGCAGCACCTCTCGCTCGGCTGGCGGCTCGCATGCTGTCGCGCGGCCCTTTGCGTGTTTTTGCATATTCCATCATCCATAAAAATGGGCGTCATTTAACGGGAGACGCCCAGACCCGGCGCCGTTTTATGGTGGGGCCATGTGCACAAGCGGGCCTTTGCACCTTTAATTTTTGCCGAGGCATGGCACTAACACCTCTTGGCAAGGTGCTGACTGACTGCACTGACGTAGTGGTTTTGTCACATAACCGTTACGTTAGCGGGCGATGGGGTCGTCACTTCCATACGCCATTTATTATTATTATTATTATTATATATACTTGACAAGTATATAACCAAAGCCTTTAATATAATAAATTGGTTATCCCTTCTCATACTTTTTCGTCTATATTGCAATACAATAAAGGGAATACCGCTTAAGTATCTTCATTCAATATAAATTCATGATAGTAATTTCTTTTAATCTCAATATGATCTTGTAAAATATCTTTCCTTGTTTAATTTTCATCTATTGTGTTTTATTTACATTAGTGTCTTATATGAAAACCTTTTGCGTTAGCTATTTTCATTATATCCTCTGTTTTTGGGGAGATTTTGCTCTAAAGTGAACACATCAATATTTACTAAGTTATTTTGCAGGCTTATTGAACATTGCCTAAGATATAGGGGTGTCATATCCTATACCTTTAAACGAGCAATTCTTGTATATATATATATATACTTAATCGGAATCTCGGAAACGGCTCCAACGATTTTCATAAAATTTAGTGTCCAGGGAGTTTCGGGGGCAATAAATCGATCTAGATAAGATTTATTTTTAGAAAATGTTTTTTTGTCCGTGTTTTCAGGCAATGAAAAACTGCTACAATATAAGAAGGTAAAAAATAATAATAAAAGTGGATAGCCAGTGGTTGGGAAATCGTAATACCTTGGTTCGCGTCCCGTCTTCGGTCCGTCTTTTTCCTTTTTTTTTCAAGTTCCCTTCTTTTATGAGAAAATCTATTATTTCCAGCCCTTTTTTAGTATTTTTTAAAAATATGAAAATTTTAGTTAAACTAATTACACTCATGATTTTTTATTTAAATACCTAACAAGTTCAGTTTTTTCTATTATGTCAATAAGATCAAAAAATATTATTCATCGGTATGTAATTTGTATCTAAATGTTATTTCAAAAAAAAAAACGAGTAAAAGTTCGGTCATCTGGGTACTAACACCCCTAATCACACAGCAATATTACGAAATGCCGAACTCTTCTCTCGAGATCTATTTCGTATCTATCGAACAAAGAAACGTGCTCTGGGACAACACTAATATACTACTAATATAATGTACACGTTAGCAGTTTGAATTTAGGGAAAATAAAAGTATATTTTTGTAAACGAATACAAATTAATTATCTGTTTAGTCAAATATTCTTTTTCTAATACGAAGGAGTATAGTTATGACAGTGGTATAATGTGTTGACGATATCATACAAATATATAACAATATTATGTTGATATATGTAATATATAATATGTTGATGATATAATACATCAACATAATATATCATTCGTATTACTGATCTGTAAAGATGCTCTATATTAACTCCAAATTGAAGCCATCCGGTATACCACTTCCGCTAGTACCATCGATCACTAATAAAGAACTAAATTTTTTATTAGTGTTCGATGACTAGTACCTATTAATAATGTGAAAGTTTAGAATTTTAGATGGATAATTGTATGTTTGACACTAAAGCACGCATTAACGGTAAAACCTTGTTTACATATTATAGGATTAGGACTCAATATAAGTTACTGCAAAGAAATTTATTTACTATGATTACCTTCTGTATAAAATGTTCATAACCCAGCTCTCACTCTGTACCAAACCTAGCTGCAGAAAAAGTTGCAGCGGAACAAACGTAGACACTAGACATTAACGGTAAAACCTTGTTTACATATTATAGGATTAGGACACAATATAAGTTACTACAAAGAAATTTATTTACTATGATTACCTTCTGTATAAAATGTTCATAACCCCGCTCTCACTCTGTACCAAACCTAGCTGCAGAAAAAGTTGCAGCGGAACAAACGTAGACACTAGACATTAACGGTAAAACCTTGTTTACATATTATAGGATTAGGACTCAATGTAAGTTACTACAAAGAAATTTATTTACTATGATTACCTTCTGTATAAAATGTCCATAACCCCGCTCTCACCCTGTACCAAACCTAGCTGCAGAAAAAGTTGCAGCGGAACAAACGTAGACACTAGACATTAACGGTAAAACCTTGTTTACATATTATAGGATTAGGACTCAATATAAGTTACTACAAAGAAATTTATTTACTATTATTACCTTCTGTATAAAATGTTCATAACCCAGCTCTCACTCTGTACCAAACCTAGCTGCAGAAAAAGTTCAGCGGAACAAACGTAGACACTAGACTAGGGCTGCCATACGTCCCGGTACACCGGGACATGTCCCGGTTTGAAGCGTTGTGTCCCGGTGTCCCGGTCAACAGGTCATTTGTCCCGGTGTGCACACAATTCGCAAGCTACCCCTGTGTAGTTAAGTGCAGCGTCTGCGATCGGCGAGTGGTTGAAGTGGAGCGGAGTCGAGCGAGCGAGCCTAGCTGCCATCTTTGATTATTAACACGTGCGCGTAGGGTTGCCAACTTTTTCAAAGGAAAATAACGTATATTCCTTTCAGACGGTTATATACACTATAATTATTACTATTCCACCGAAACAACAAACGTTGAGCATAGAGTACAGAGTACAATATATACTGGAGACATTGACTGACACTTGACTGTACTGACAGTACAGATTTTTCGAAAGTTGTATGATAATGTATTTTGTTGTTATTCTGTTCTGTGTATGTGTGAAAGTATAAAATGATTGGAAATTCTGAGTAATGGACTGAGTTAAATTCAGAAATTTGGCAGAATTCTTGCTTTCATTCAATTCACACAATATTTCACGCATAAGTTAGAATAAAGTATTTTAGATACTTTTTTCTTATTCAAAAGTATAAAGTATAATCAAGCAAAATACCGTAAGATACGTTATTTTAAAGTATAGTTGGCAACACTACGTGCGCGTCCCGCGCCGCGTGCCCCTCCGCCCTCGCGCCTTGAACGTCACGCGTCGTCGCAGTGTTTCGTTTGATTGCTTTAGAGAACAACGTACTTAATTTGCGCTGCGCGTTATCCTGTATTTCGTAGTTTAGTTTTTTTTATTGCCAGTCTGGTATTTTGCTAAAAAGTCATGCCAAAAAAGAAAGTGTTTGTTTTCGGACGATTATACTAAAGAGTGGTCATTCATTAAAAGAGGAAGAAATGATTATGAAGCCTTTTGTTCAATTTGCGGCTTTCATATATCTGTCAGTCACGGCGGTAAGTCAAGTGTCAAAGACCATATCCAAAGTAAAAATCACAAGACGAAATTATCAGTTGCATCAACTTCTAGAGATATATCGACATTTATGATCACGCAATGTACTGCCGAAGACATGTTAATATGCGCTGCCGAACTGACCACAGCTTATAAAGTCGTAAAGCACCACCAATCGTTTAGCTCTTTAGATTGTACGACAAAACTGAATGCCGTAATGTATCCTGATTCAAGTATCGCAGCAAAACAATCAACTGCAAGAACAAAAGCTACTGCTATCATTAAACACATTTTAGCTCCACACTCGATCGCGCAAATTAAAACAGAAGTCGAAAAAGTTCCTTTTTACGGCATTTCAACCGATTCTAGCAATCACAAAGCCGAAAAGTTATTTCCACTGCTGATACAGTACTTTACGGAAAAAGAAGGACTGCAAATTAAATTACTAAAAATAGACTCATTGCCGAATGAAACATCTGATACAATCACTTCATTTTGTATAAAATCGTTGCAGGATCAGAACATCCCCGTACAAAATATTGTTGCTTTCAGCGGGGATAACACAAACACTAACTTTGGCGGAAGAGATAGGTACGGAGTTAACAATGTTTTTTTTTAATTAAAGGAGATTTTGTCCAAAGACATTGAAGGCATCGGTTGCCCAGCGCACATTCTGCACAATACAGCGTCCACTGCTGCCGATGTGATGTCGATTGACGTGGAGTCTATTGTTCTGAAAATTTTCAAGTATTTTTCCATATTCACCGTAAGAGTGGAACGGCTTAAAGATTTTTGTGAGCAAGCAGCAATAGAATACAACAATATACTCTCACATTCCAGAAGTCGGTGGCTTTCACTACTTCCAGCAATTGAACGCATACTAAAGTTATGGCTGCCATTGAAAGAATTTTTCGCTAAGGAAGCAAAAGCCCCAAAAGCTGTAGTCGATTTTTTTTGCTGATCCCTTATCAGAAGTTTACACACTTTTTGTGCACAGTCAAGCATTTCTGATTGAAAAACAAATTAAAAAGATTGAAAAATCAGTTATTACCATTGTTGAAGTGAAAAATGTATTACAGGATACAAAAAAACAGTTGAGTGACAGATTGATAAATAAATATTTAGGCAATCAAACAACACAACTTTATAACAAACTAAAGAATGAAGGCACAATTAATACAAGTCAATCCGAAACATTTGACAAAGAAACAGGAGATTTCTTTAACACTGCTATATGTTATCTCGAACAGTGGACAGAGCCGATGACAAAATTTGATGTTTTCGCTTGGATGATTTTAAATGATATTCCTCAATGGCAACAAGTAGAAGAAACTACAAAATATTTAAATGAAAAGGATATAGGAATAGATGATTCAATGTATGAAGAATTTATGTACTTAAAATCGTTTATTGAATGTGAAATCAGCGATGAATGGAAAGCTAAAAATATGGAAGCAAAATGGAAACACTTTTTTTGAAAAAACCGAAGAACTGGAAAGAAAAGCAAATCTTCTTAAAATGTGTCAATATATTTTTGCAATCCCAGGCCACAATGCTCACGTAGAACGAGTGTTTTCGTTAATTTCAGCGCAGTGGACGAAAGAACGAAGTTCACTCAGTGTAAGCACAATCGAAAGCATCATTCAATGCGTTTATAATTATAAAATGTCATGCACGGAATTTTATAATTACGTCAAAGGGGAAAAGGAATTACTGAAAAAGGTTAAAAGTACAGAGAAATATGAATGGGCAAAAAAAAAGGACGTAGTGTAAGAGTTTCTTATTTTTTGATTAAATTTTCTTAAATATTACCAGTGTTTTTGTATAATCCATGATTTACCCTATTTCTGTTCTAAATGTCCCGGTCGGCGTCTCGGAATTTATGGCAGGCCTACACTAGACATTAACGGTAAAACCTTGTTTACGTATTATAGGATTAGGACTCAATATAAGTTACTAAAAAGAAATTTATTTACTATGATTTTACCTTCTGTATAAAATGTTCATAACCCAGCTCTCACTCTGTACCAAACCTAGCTGCAGAAAAAGTTGCAGCGGAACAAACGTAGACACTAGACATTAACGGTAAAACCTTGTTTTCATATTATAGGATTAGGACTCAATATAAGTTACTACAAAGAAATTTATTTACTATTATTACCTTCTGTATAAAATGTTCATAACCCAGCTCTCACTCTGTACCAAACCTAGCTGCAGAAAAACTTGCAGCGGAACAAACGTAGACGCTAGACATTTTTACCTGACTTCAACACTAGTAAACCAAAAAAAAAGTTACAACCGGCATTGAAACAGATCCCAACAGTTTTTTACATTACATATTAAAACTTTACTTTACCTGCGGGCCCCTCGTTTAAGTTCTGGGAGCACAACCGTCCAACCGGTTTACAACCGTCTTACCACCAAAGTTTTAAATACAACAGCTGTCTCCACAAAAGGCGATTTAAAAAAATAACAAGTGCTGTTACCATAGAATACTATAATACATACATTTTGTATTCTATGGCTGTTACTCTAAAAAAACAATAACGTTTTGAAGTTATCTAAACAAGACCTAAATATCCTAATTTATACAAGACTTAAAGTTAAGATAAGATAAAGTTAAGATTTCTAGATTGAACTAAACTTTATTTTATCGACGATAAAACTTAATTCACAGATGGTAAAATTTAAAAAATTAAACCTTACCAGGTAACAGAATAAATAGAAAATTAAAGTGCCCTTTATATACTAACAACTGTTACAAGTCAATTGGTCAAACTTGTTTATAGTGGGTAAAGAAAGGAAATATTTTTAAATCGTTCAGCGCTATACAAGCAAGGTATGTTGTTTTTAAACCCCCGAGTCCATGGGACTCACCGCCACTTTTAAACAACAAAAAAAAATAGTTTATTTTTTAGAGTTTAGACTTGCGCTATCTAGTAGGTACCTTCCTGCGGTGAGGCGCGGGACGCAGAGGTGAGCGGTCGCGTGCTCACGTCTTTCGGAAAGATAAATAATATGATCGAGTGTGAGTCCTAGGGACTCATGGTGGAGTGTTGTGTGACAAAAATGGATTTACTTACTTTTTAGTTTATCTAGGTATGTTACTTTTTTTGTAGGCTTTTACTATGGCATCTAAACGTAGAAGTATTGAATCGGTAAACTTTGCAGATGATTTAGCCTCAGATATCACAAATGATTGGCGTTTTTTTTATAGAAGAGGGGTCAAACAATGGGGCTCACCTGATGTTAAGTGACTACCGCCGCCCATGAAGATCCGCAGCACCAGAGGAATTGTAGGTGCGTTGTCGGCCCTTTAGAAAGGAGTAAGCTCTTTTCTTTTCTTGAATGAGGCTGTAAGAAGATGATTTACTGGGCGAAGATGAAGAGATTGGCGTTGGCAGCGGCTATGCAGCTGAATTAATCGTGACCTACATTCCGATTACGAGGACGTCGATTATATTGTGAGTGATCACGACACCAATTCCGAATGCTACGAGACTGAAGAACAGGATAGTAACTTGGACGACATACCATGCCTTAGACATGCTTTATCAACCAAGTACATCGCAAACTGATGATATTTTACCTAGATATCAGTGCAAATATTGCTATACCTGCAATCACAAGAAACGAAACGAACGAACAAAGAAAAAATATAAATATGTATTATAATTCTTAGACAGTGCAAATATTGCTTATCTTTGCACTGTCTATAAGAAGCTAATCTGCCTTAGGTACTTGTTTTAAAAAATATGCCAAGAATGTGTAACACATTAGTATGTTAACTTATTGCACGTTTTAAAATTTTGTATATTGCCATTAATAATTATTATTATTATTATTTTTATTTACTTCATAATGTCTTCTATAAGAAAAAAATATTTTATTTTGTCCAAGAGCTACAACATTTATTTTTTCTTGCAGATGATTTTTGATGACTGTTAATTTTAAAGTGAATTTGAGTTTATCACAAAATGTTACCGGATATGTACGAATTATTGTGTTTGCTAGAAGTCTAATAAATAACATATTTCGTTTAGTTTTTATTTAAAAAATTAAAACATGAGTCCCTGGGACCTGTGGTGGTGATAAGTGATATTTCAATTAGGGCGGTAAATCAAGGGTTTATTAAATTTCTTGTACTATTATTTAAACTATGATTTAATATTAAATTACAAGATATTTACTTCTTAGGTAAGTATAGGGAAAAATCTAAGATAATTAATCACACTGTTATATCTTTAGAAGTTGATATAATTAACATTTGAATGCATCCTAATTACCTTCCTACTTCCTAAATGTTAAATGTTTAAAAATTCAATCGACATTTTTTGAAAACGCTAGGTGGAGATGGGCTACATACGAAAGTATTCGGCACTCATAAATTAGCTAATAATATTCATATTATGTACCTAACTTCTAAAAATAATAATGGCTTAATGTGTCAGGACGTTAAAATATTACATAAACAAACATCTTGACATTAAGTAAATTATAGAAAAATATCTTGTGTTTACGTGTTTCATGTTGCGCTCAAGGACGTCTTGAAAACGGACAAACTTACTAATATCAATAATAAGGTTTATTATTTGTTTCAAGTAGGAGAAACAAAAAGCGCCATCTATCGTCAAGTAGAATACATGTAAAAATTGTTTTATATTTCTGTACCAGATATTTCTTATTATTATATGAATCTTACTTAAAATAAGTAAAAGAAGTAAACTTTTATCGTAATAATGTACTTTTTGTCTTTATTAACTATTGTGAACGTATACAGTCTAATTTTTCTAGAAAGGTCAGTTGCGACAGAAGTGACATCTGCTCGCAACTACACTTTGCAGGTATTCTAAACAATTTAAGTATTTCTTAATCTTTCTTTAAAAGATTTTTTAACAAGGTTATAAAGTTCCCTGCTAAACATTGAACTCTCCCGTGTCCTCCCAGATTTATGTATTAAATTTAAATAAAAGAAGCCTATTAAAAGATAACTTTCAGTGTGAAGAAATTATAAATACAAAAATTGTAATAAAATTAAATAAAAGAAAAATAAGTCAAGTAGTAAAAATTTGTAATACTCGGTATGTATATCTTAGTTATTATGAGTTTATTAACAAAAACCCAAATTCAACTTTCAAATAGTAGCTAAATAAATAAATCTATTTACATTTCGGTGAAAATTTGCAGATTTTACATATTATCTATTTAAGATTTCTCAAAATGGAGTTTTAATAATAAAATAATATTGATTTTTGATATTGTAGTTCTGTATTATTTCATAATTTATATTGGACTCTACACATTATGACCTCATTTTGTATGATACCGTGCAGTGGAGGTGTAGGAGAACGTACTGCCGCATATTATGCTGTGGGTGTCGTAAAAGGTCATAGTGGGAAACTGAAATAAGAGTTAGCCAGCAGCGTCTTCCAGAGTACAGAGTCCTGCCAAGCGAGGCAATCATGCTAAACATATGAGACACTCTATGGGGGAAGGCTATCTCCAGCAGTGGACTTTTGATGGGCTGTAATAAATAAATGAAAATGTTTTATTTTATAAGATGTGTGCGAATAAATTAGTACCTAAAATGTAGTTATGATTATCATAAAACTATTTGTAATGAATTTCTTGATATATTTTATATTAACTTTTTAAAAATAAAAATCAAATAACAAACCATTAAAATGTTGTCAATACCTGCACGGACGTGAAAACGCCTGGCATCTCTAGTACATTCTAGATTTTCTAGAAAATTCTACCCGTCGCTAGATGGCGTTTACAACTATAAATACTTATGCTGAAGTTATAACCGTGTCAGTCGATAAAGTTGCAAAGTACCACTGTATTTGTATTTACCTACTTGCCGGCCGGCATTTTACATCGCTCTATCTGCTGAGAAGCAAATTTAGTGAGTCTTATCATCGACGATTAATTTTAAAAAGTTGTGAAGATGTCAATGTATCCGTTTTTCATTGAATGTAAACACCCAAGACCACGTCGTTTGATGGATCAACATTTTGGCTTGGGTCTCACGCCGCAGGACTACTTGACCATCGTCGCCATGCCGCAAACCAACACGAGCTACTATAGGCCGTGGCGAAATCTTCAGGCTGCTAACCAAGACCCAGGCTCTACTATTAAAGAAGATAAGGACAAATTTCAAGTAAATATTGACGTTCAGCACTTCGCACCTGAAGAAATTTCGGTAAAAACTGCCGATGGTTATTTAGTTGTTGAAGCGAAACACGAAGAACGTCAAGACGAACATGGATTTATTTCCAGAAGTTTCTCGAGGAGGTACCCCTTACCCGAAGGTATAGAGGCTGATTTAGTCACATCTAAATTGTCGTCAGATGGAGTATTAAGCATAACGGCGCCACTCAAAGCACCGCCAAAGACAAGTAATGAGAGGATCGTTCCGATCATTCAGACAGGGCCAGTAAAGAAACAAGGTGGTGATGAAGAACGAAGATAATTT